CCTTATTATTGACTGTTTTCATTGATGTTTTCATGCACGTGCATCCACGTGTGTGTATTATACGTCATTAACTTATTAAAATTTTTGTTATTAATTTTATTTAACCATAATAAATGGGCATGGTCAACGTATCAATCCAGATTCCTTCAAAATTTCGATACCGATACGAATCGATACCGTAAAATATCGTTTGTATCAATAAAATATCGATATATCACCCACCACTATCGAGCACCCAAACTGATAATTCTTCTTTTAAAAAGCTAACAGAGCACGATTTTTTGATAATGATGGCCTTTATGAAGACTAGTATACTCCAGCAGCTATTGTACTGCTTATTAGAACAAACAAAACCCATTCAAGAGTGAAATACAGCCTTATACAGGCCAACCATGCAGCTGTAAAATAGCGGCCATGCTACTATGAATATCATTATAAGATGTCATCTGTGACGTATGACTACATTTTCAAATTCCAAGCGGCTGGTGTCAAACTCAGTTGGGATATAGTATATGATTTTTATATTAGTAATTTAGTATAATATCATGTAAATTTGAAGTATAATATGTACATATAATTTTTATTAAAAAGACACAATCATACATTGTTAAACATAAATCAATATAATATATACCATATAGAGTCTAGAGAGGGAGTAAAATTTGGCAAATAGCTAAATTTTGGTGTTTGGCGGATTTTAATTTGACAAATTAATAGCCATGTGCATATAATGTCTCAAAATGGTGGATTTGATTTTGGCAAATGTCTATTGGAACGCCAAATTAAATCTTTTTCAAAATTTCATGCTATACGGTACAATTGTGCATTATACAAGTTAATTATTACTAAATGAATATAATGTATACATGTACATGTATAAAGCTATTTATTAAACGAAGGGAATCTTACCAGTGGACACATTATAAAGTAACTGTTCATTAGTATGAACACGACCATCCTTAAGTTGATCATATTGAAACTGAGGATGGTAAACAGTTGGTGTAGAACCATACCCTCCTATTATGACAAGGTATTCTGCTCCATCAAATTCCAGTGATATCATTCCAGCACGAGCTTTCTTCATCAACGACTGTTCAGCATTACTACATGAAGTCCACTGCATCTTTATCGTATTCAGTACATTCAGCATATTGT